ATCACATTTAGATATTGGCTACGGTAAAACTTTTTAAACAGTAATAATGATTTCGCATTCGACTTACCAAAGATGATAACTTCGCATATAATCTACACGCGAATTCATGTTGACCATATCTATTCGCCTGCCTGGCTAACTGATAAACAAACCACGTGATAGACGATAGCCTAATGAAGCCCTGTCTACTTTTTCACCTAAAAACTTTGATACCGCAGACATTAAAAGTGTTTGTTCTCTTTGTGTCAATGGAATACCTCCAGTCAGTTGGAATACTAAACCGACAGCAGAGAGTACAGACGAAGTTATGCTATTCAGTGTAGAAGAGGATGATGACGAACATGATACACGGTCCCCTGGAATAGAATTAGTTAATTTAGATAATACATTTGAATAAGTGAGTTGTTCTGACATGACATCACCACAACCACCACCACCAGCATTGCAAATAGTTGAGGAATCAAGAAATAAGTACTGCGATAGTCTGGCATACATTGTGCATAAAAATTGACACAATAAACCAGTACGTGTTGCTCCATCTGAAAAGAAAAACAGACTATACATAAATAGCAAAGCAAAGCTAGAGATAAGTAGTATTGGCATAAATATTCACAAGACAATAACAGTTAAACTGATAATATTTTATCACCTACAGTGTTGCAGTACTAAACAGCTATTTCGTCTCACTATGAGAATTTTCAGCAAGTAGTATGCACCAATGACCACACCGGCAATGGAAACTGAGACGCTTCAGGTTACAAGGAAAACTCGTTGATCATTCTGTCACGAGATGTGAGGCTATCAACCCCACTCAGTAAAAAACAAAATAACAGCCGCTAACAAGAGCCGGCGGGCTTTTCGACTACTGCGCTACATTTTGCTTATTAATAAAAACTCTCATTTCTGTAAAATTTTATGTCAAGAGTTTGTGGAAACTATCACAATTATTAACCTTTCGAACACTGAATCCAAAAAATACAATCTTATTGACAGATAATACACATAACTCACTGTTTGGATTTGTGGAATTTTTAAACATAAACACATCTATAATTGTATATATTGTTGGATTTATATGTTCAAGTTGCTCCAAGTCAGTGAGTTTATGGTTAAGATATCATTTTAGTTAACTATGCTGAACTATATTGCATGTTGTCTTATTGTATAGTTGTCGTCGCTTTTTGCCCTTTTTTCTGTGAACTGTTTCCTTTGTTGATGTTGTTCTCATTGTTTGTCCGTTATTTTCTGATTTTGAGGGGAGCAACCCAAAAAGTTGCTTCTCTCTAAACTTTTACTTAATGTAATCATTCTTTTCTCAGGCGTGAGGCTAGCAACCCCACCCTGTAAACAAAAATTGCTACAGAACCTTCAGCAGAATGAACCTCTTTGCACCAAAAGAAAAAGTCTGTGTAGGAACATGGAACGTCCGAACTATGTACGAGACTGGGAAAGCTGCCCAGATCGCCAACGAGATGAAAAGATACGGAATACAAGTGCTGGGAATATGTGAGAGCAGATGGAATGGGAGTGGACTCACCAAATTGTCAACAGGTGAGTCAGTGATCTACTCCGGTCACCCAGAAGATAACCACACGCACACCGAGGGCGTGGCTATCATGATGTCACCAACGGCAACGAAAGCCCTGATACAATGGGAGGCGATTTCGTCCAGGATAATGACCGCCAGGTTCAACTCCAAAGGAAGGAAAGTGTCAATCATACAATGTTATGCACCCACAAACAACGCAGACCTCGAGAAGAAAGAAGAATTCTACAGGCAACTACAGGCAACAATGGACAATACTCCAGCTGGCGACATGAAAATACTAATGGGAGACATGAACGCCAAACTGGGACCAGACAATACGGGAAGGGAACTCATCATGGGTAGAGAAGCTCTAGGAGAAATGAATGAAAACGGAGAACTCTTCGCCGACTTCTGCGCCTTCAACGAACTGGTGATTGGTGGCAGTGTATACAAGCACAAAGATATCCACAAGGCTACATGGGTGTCACCAGACGGCAAACCAAAAACCAAATCGACTTCATCTCAATCTCAAGGAAGTGGAGGCGCAGCCTACTGGACACAAAAGCAAGAAGAGGAGCAGACGTTGGCTCAGACCACTATCTCGTACAAGGGACAATCCAAATCAAATTAAAAGCTTTCAGGGAATCAGGAGCTGCAGATAGACCACAAGCCAAGTTCAACACTCAAAAGCTGAAGGACCAGGCTACAAAGGACATCTTCATTGCAAGCATAAAGGACAAAGCCGAGACACAAATCAACACCAGCGAAAAGGTCGGCGTCGAAAAGCACTGGAACAACTTGAAAACGGTGTGGAGCCAAACCTGCATAGAAATTCTAGGCAGAAAAAAGAGACAGGACAAACAGTGGCTCACTACGGACACTTGGAAACTAATAGAAGAGAGAAGGACAGTGAAGCAAAAGATTATCCAGTGCACTGACGAGCAACAAAAACAGGAGCTGAATGCAAGCTACAATACACTGAACAAAAGAGTGAAGAAAAGTGCCAGGGAAGACAAAAGAAAATATTATGAAACCATGGCAAACGAAGCAGAACAAGCTGCAGGCAAAGGAGACCTCGCCACACTCTACCAAACAACTAGGAACCTTTCGGGCAAACGTTCGACACAGATTAAGCCAATAAAGGACGACAATGGAAAGTCAATCACCAAAGAGGTGGAACAGAGAAAGCACTGGGTTGAACACTTCAAAAGACTTCTAAATCGTCCGCCACCTACAACACGTCCAGCAATACCAACAACGGAAGCAGAACTACCAGTGAACACTGACCCCCCGACGAAATCAGAAGTCCTGAATGCAATCAAGATGCTTAAAGCTGGGAAAACACCGGGACCAGATGGAATCCCAGCAGAGGCTTTGAAAATAGACCCAGAGACAACAGCGGACTTGATGACACCACTACTGGAGAAGGTGTGGAAAGAGGGCAAAGTACCCGAGGATTGGAAGAACGGATACTTATTCAAACTCCAAAGAAAGGAGACTTAAGTCAATGTAAAAACTGGCGTGGAATTATGCTTCTGTCCATTCCAAGCAAGATACTAAGTCGCATCATCCTGGAGAGAATCAAACAAGCCCTAGATGAAAAACTTCGTCCGGAACAGGCTGGATTCAGGAGAAACAAATCATGTATTGATCAAATCGCCACTCTACGGATCATCATTGAACAAAGCTTGGAATGGCAGTCACCTCTCTATCTCAACTTCATCGACTTTGAAAAGGCCTTCGACAGCGTCGATCGAGAGGTCATTTGGAAACTACTTCGCTACTACGGGGTCCCATCGACAATTATACACCTCATCCAACAGTTATACGACAATGCTGCATGCCAAGTAATCCACAACGGGAAACTTACGGAAGCCTTCGAAGTGAGGACGGGAGTGAGGCAAGGCTGTCTACTATCACCAATGATCTTCCTGATTGCAATTGATTGGATAATGCGACAGACAACGGCAACCAACGAGGGAACAGGCATAAAATGGACTGACACAAAAGACTTGGAGGATCTGGATTTCGCCGATGATATATGTCTGATTTCCCATAAACTGGAAGATATGCAAGTGAAAAGTAACAAGTTGGCAGAAGAAGCATCAAAGATAGGACTTCACGTGAACATAGATAAAACAGAGATGATGAAGATTCCTAGCCAACATCACCAACAGCAACAAACAACAATAAGCATAAATGGGAAGAACCTGAAAGAAACAACCTCCTTCACCTACCTGGGAAGCATCGTCTCAACTACAGGCGGAACTGACGAGGACATCAAAGCCAGAATCGGAAAAGCAAGACAAGCTTTCATTACTCTCAAATCTGTGTGGAGGTCAACAGCACTCAGCATCAAAAATAAGATCCGGATTTTCAACTCCAATGTGAGGTCAGTGCTACTATATGGATTAGAGACTTGACGCGTCACGAAAGGCATCTCAAACAAACTACATACTTTCATTAACAGCTGTCTTCGCTCAATACCCAAGATCAGATGGCCAGAAAAGATCAGCAACAGGGATCTCTGGGAGCGAACCAACCAGGACCCGATTGTGCAACAAATATGCAGCAAAAAATGGAGTTGGATTGGCCACACTCTGAGAAAAGCATCAAGTGACATCACACGACAGGCCATCGCGCGAGTGGAACCCAAACGGGATGCGGTGAGTTGGTCGTCAATGGGAGGGTGACATGGAAAAGGTCATGCGAAAGGGAGATGTAAGCATATGAGCAGACGTGGAGCCAGGTAAAAACGTTGGAGAAGAACCGAACGCAATCGAGACGTTCGACTGAAGCTCTATGTTCCTCTAGGAATTAAAGGAAACAATGATAACAATCTGCTAGTTAAACCAAAGTGATGTAAACATCAGACGGCTGTTTCGCTAGTTTGAGGTCGAGCTCATCAACGGTGTAACCGGTTTTATTCAGCTCAGAGAGAGAGAGAGAGAGAAGGATAGCCGAATCAGTTCAAATCTTCCGATTTCTGACCAAATATATGGGCGAACTGTCAACACTACAAGTAATTTTGAAAGTTTGATGATTGCATGAATAACTTACCAAGTTGTATACCTTCAATGAAGTTCATCTTATGTAATTGTGATGCATACGAGGGAAATGTACTGAAGAATTCCACAAGTAAGCTATATGTGCACTGAAACATAAAGTGTAAGAAATAATAACATTGCTACCAGAAAAACCATAGTCACTTTTTACTTCAGAAATACGTCCACAAACGAAAAGATAAAACCAACCGAGGGCTTTCATATAACAAAAAGTGTAATTAGTTAGTATACATAAACTTCAGCTGTACCACGGAGATTGGTGCTTGGTAGTAGTCAAATCATAATCTACAAAAATTAATAAGAACCTATCCACTAATTTATATGCACATATGAATTAAATCTTCTACGCACAGACTGTATTATGTGAGGAGTTGGTGTTTCAACGCTAGAACGTTCGCCGACCACATGCGTGGTCTAGGGTCCAATTCCCGCTGACGCACATCTGAGAGTTGCTTAGCTCGTAGTAAGCCCGGGAAAGAGGGAAGGTTGGGTGCGTTAGCTAACAACTTCACTGACTTGAAACAAAAATACACTGCCGCTACTGAAATTACAATGCTTAACCTGGAAGCCATATGTTTCACTCGGAACGCAAAGGAATACAAAATGAACTGAGACTGCGTAGATACCGAAGAAATATGACACTCAATGCGGTAAATTCTTTGACTTTTAAAAGCTCCGATCATTGAGAATTGATCTGAAAAACATATTTATTTACATTATAGAACTTTCAGCATCTTTTTACCTGCCTACTCCGTATACAGAACCCTGTTGTAAATCAGTAATCTACAGTATATCATTGACGGGATTTTGTTCTGTGTGAGAAAAGCCCCAACACCTTCCGACGTACCTGTCCTTCGAAACAGACAACGCGATATGTTGCAAGAACTGAAATTAACCAACATGTTGCAAGACTATTCACGTAAATTATAATAAATGTATCTAAATCCTAGTACGTTCACAATCCTATGTCTTTTGAATAACTCAGCAACCCAAAAGTTTACTCTCAGTCTGCTGAAAGCCACTCAAAAGATGCACAAGAGTACAGATTGTTCTTCAAAGACGTAAATAGATGGTTAAAACAAAGTAAAATTGAGTAAGTTATTATACTCCGTGGTAAATTAATTAGTTCAGTGATTTAAGCAGGCTGAACAGATACTACTAATCTATAAAGTAATTAAGAGAACCTAAGTTAGCAAAGAGAACTCTTTTCGTAACTTTATTTTACAGATATTTAGAGGATCCATATTATATATATATATATATATATATATATATATATATATATATATATGAGTTGATCACGAATTGATATCAGTCAGAGAACCATTGAAAACCGGGGAGTACTGGGCAGCTGTTTCATCCTAGTTTGGGAATCATCGGCAGTACTCACCCACTGGGGTTCGAACCTAATGTCGTCCCACCGACGACATTGGTTGGGGTCGAGCTAAAGTCACGAATTAGTAGAAGTTAGAATTCGTGGGCTAGCCATTGGAACGAGTTCAAGTGGCTGAATGGTATGTCTGAGTTCGAATCCCAAAGGGTGCGTACTGCCGATAACTCCCGAGCTAGGATGAAACAGCTCTCCAGTACTGGTTCTCAATGATTCCCTAATTGATATCAACCCGCGGTCAAACTCGTATAAACAAATCTAATCTTTACAAACCAACTATAGAAATATATATATATCGTTATATATACACTTAAATGATTTACACTCACCTTTAAATCACTAATTGGAATATTCTTATCATGTAGATACCAAAGCATTCCATACTCCCTTTCTCTTCTTTCTTATTTCCTGATAGATTAAAATGATATAGAAGTAATTGAATCAATTGTTTCGGTTCAAAGTTGAATGATGTCTCATAGTCTGTACAGCAATCTGTATCACTATTCTCTATCTGACCACCATCACCTTTCAAAATGGTAAGTTTACACGCCAGTTGAATCGCTCGAATTAATAAATGGGATGATGTATCTTGTAAAGCTTTTTTATACAGTCAACAGGTGTATAACCTGATAAAAAGAAATGAAGAAAGAAGCTGATGGAATGAGTGATGTGTAGGCATAATGATATGGATTAATTTGAAGAATATTGCTTCGTTTATTTTATTCCTCTGGGTTTTGAGAGGAACATAAGGCTTCAAATTTGAGCTCTGAAGTTTCACTAGCAATGGTGGAGCTGCTAACTCATGGCCTAAGCTTACCTCTGTACCGGTCCCACTATCGGCTAGATGAGGTCTAAGGGTACGTCGGCGCCCGTTCTCAGTGGCGCAGATGCATCCACTCCCTGTGACTTATGATCTTCAATGAAACTGTTTTGTATTTCTTTATTACTCCTTTGTCTCACACCTCTGCTCACTGTTTCTATTATGCTTTTCTTGTACTTTCTGCTCTTGCTTCGCGTGCTACACGGAATGTGGCGAATTGAACTTCCGCACATTTGTGCAAAGTTCTATGTCGAGAACAGACAGACAGACAGACGTCGGCGCCCGAGAACAGAACTCCAAACGAAGTGCCAGGTTGGTGAGTGTTCTGCTACTGAATCAGAAGACATCTCTGAGATTCTCTATGTACCATTTTCTATATCATTCAGTAGATGACTACACCAAATTCCTAGTTGAAGCAATCACAATAATAACCAACGCTCGAAGCTGAGTTAAAACCATTATACTACTGATGAGCTCAGCTCCCAAGTGTTTTATGATTTCTACTCAGAGATACAGGTTATTTTTCTCTTTTGTTCATTCATTTTTGTGTATTCAGAATTTTATTCCAGGTTGCTGACAGTTGTGCTGAGTCACCCTTGTAACATGTATCCGGGGTGACCTTATTGAATATGGATTCTGTTATAAGTCTCTCTTTCCATTTGTTCATATTGTGGTGAGCTGGCTGCTAACAAGCCAAAATTGTAGACAGCAATTTACGTCAGTGTTACGTACCGAATCGGCGTTATGAGAAAAACAACAACAAAGCTTAACTTTGAGGAAATCACCAGCCAATCACAGCAGACTTAACGTGTGCAAATACGATTCGCAGATATACGACTTAAATTTCTGAGAAACGGTCACAAGCAATACAGAATAACCTTCAGCAAGAAAACAACCAATCAGAGAACATTGCTTCTCCTCTGACGATAAATATCTGTTGATTTTCTTAATAAACAATCTGTTGCCTGGCCTTTGTCTTCTGTCGTTACAATATTGGTTTTCAGAATACAAACATTGTTCCAATCGATATTGTGAATTTTGTCCCATACATGTACAGCCATAGACGGTTTTCTTCCTAGATTGTTGTAAGCTTGTGTTCCTGTTGGTTGACCTTTGGTTAGGCGTTTATGTTCATTCACTCTTATTTTGAGTGATCTGGACGTTTGATCCACGTATTTAGTCGAACACTTAGCACAAGATACTTTGTAAATTACATTATTTTTAAAAGTCAATCTGAGCGAAGAATATTCTTTTCAATAATTTCCCCTCAGGTCACTACAATTATAAAATGTAATATTTATTATCATTACAATAATGGCCAGTTATGCGGCGGATACACTTTTTTGTACGTAGAATAACAGATTAGTTTTGGGGTGTCAAAATATAAATAGTATTTTATTGACAAAGTGCTAGCCTGAAATCGATTACAAAATATTGTAAAATGGGAGATAATGGTGGTGATTATTCATCACAGATTCATAGAATATGGGGCAGGAAAATTGAAAAGTCAGCTCATTTCACGAATCTATTGTGACTAATCACCACAATTGTCTCCCATTTTACAATATTTTGTAGTCGATTTCAGCCCAGAGCACGTTTGTCACTAAAATACTATTTATATTTATTTTTAATTAGATTCGTTGGTTTAAGCAAGTTGCAAATCCCAATATTTTGAGGTTTCTTCTAACTGCATCTGATGTACCACTCACGGTAAAACGAGGATTAATACAAGGTCTTGCAAATAGAATACATAGACTTACAACAACACCAGAGGACCAACGTGAAGAAATGAACGTCCTATTCAAAATGTTACTCGACAACAATTATCCCGAAGAATTTATTAGAGATAACGTAAAGAAGAGAAAAAAGAGGGCAAAACCAAAGAATGATAAGAAGGAAGGAAGGCAAAAAACAATCACAATACCTTACAAAAATGGTACATTAGATGCAATTAGAAGAAATCTCACAAATATTTGGATTCGCACCATGTTTAAACCAACGAATCTAATTAAAATTAAGATAAGTCAACTAAAAGACCCAACACAAATGATGAATAAAAATGATGTAATCAACAAAATATTTTGTGCTAAGTGTTCGACTAAATATGTGGGTCAAACGTCCAGATCACTCAAAATAAGAGTGAATGGATATAAACGCCTAACCAAAGGTCAACCAACAGAAACACAAGTTTACAACAATTCAGAAAAAAATCTTCTATAGCTGCACATGCATGGGACAAAAATCACAATATCGATTGGAACAATGTTTGTACTCTGAAAACTAATATGAACATATGGAAAGAGAGACATAACAGAATCTATATTCAATAAGGTCACACCGGATACATGTATTAAGGGTTACTCAGCACAACCAAGAACAAAACTTATCATTGTGTGTAAACTATTGAAATATAATTATACTTTATTTGATCTATTCCACAATGCTCAAACTTCTTGATGACATTGAAGCTACAAATAAACTTCTGAAATTCCACGAATAAATTTATACTACTTACTAATAGTAAGTAGTACATAAATTAAGCATACACTTAGACGGGATAGACCAACGAACAATGAAACGCTTTGTCGTCTACTTTTACAGAAAAAAACGGGGGTATTGTGATTTCTCTAAGTGATTTCAATCCCTAAAAAATGAATCTACAATACATAATAATACTAATCACTTTAATAATATAAATAAAAAGTCATATTACATTTAACAGTGTCCAGTTGTCCAGACGGTAATGTTAAAAATTCCATAGAATGGAATGATGTCGTTAGACAAAAGAATATTTGGAGTATTAATACTTTATCCAGTTTGCTGCAGCTTTCACCATGATAAATGGAACTCAATTCCTGGGAACGAAAGAAAAAGAGATGCAATATTATTGTCTTCAAAACCTGAATTTACATAGAAACGTTCATTGGAATTAGGCAATAACATCGTGTTAGAAGAGTTTGCGTTACAATCGGGCCCAAGTTAGGAGACTGTCAAAAACCAAAAATCTCTGGATAACTGACCTGCCCTGTTCATCAGTACATGCTCATTACGGCGAACATTTCTAAGATCAGATCTCATGGCGAACATATGGTCATTCAGTAGATCTCTCAACTTCTGTTAGTCCGCCATATGTTGAAACTAGTTAGTCAGTCAGTCGGTCCGCCATATTCCGTTTACTACTCATTAGGACAGTTTGAGTATTTGAAAGATTTATCAGTTTCGCACCATTCATGTATACATTACGTTACTACGCTACTCCAGAGTCGCTGGTTCAGAGGTGGGATGCCCACCAACGATGCACTTGGTTAGATTCCCAACCGATGATGCGCTTCTCAACCTCACCTAAGCGGCAGTAAGCCTACTGGTTAAGAGGAATCGCTTGGCGCGAGGCTGCTAACCCCATCCCTTGAAAAAAAAAACTCCTTCACTACTTACACTTCAAAGCTCAAGGTTGAAGACATTATGAAGTAAATAATAAAAACAATTGTTATTTCAGCCATAACAATCATTAATACTGTTGAAGCACCGGTACTCTCAATAAGTATGACAGGTTAAACGAGGAAACTAAAAAAGAAACGATGACACTACATCTGAAAAGATGATCAAACATGTTTTAATAATAAATTAGTCCAAGTATCCAACCACCTATTAGAAAACGATATACTGAGCAACACTTCGCCCCGTCCTATATTATGACTGTTAGACATAGCAACTGAAGGTGGTAAACTTGAAAAGACCAGTTATCTTTGACGACAGATGGTTGCGCTTCATCCCCTGTGTGGTGGGAAATATTGAGGTTAGGCGTAGAGTCATAGCCGAGGAAATAAAGTCAATTGATCAGGTTTTGCAGCTACGTTCAGTGGGATGGCTAGGATAGGTGTTACGTAAAGTGAGTCACCGCCTTCCTCATGGAGCAACGTTAACTGATACAGGACCTGGTTGGAAATATTTAGTGGTTAATTCGAAGAATGGCATTAGTTCATGAAGTCTCTGACTGTTGGTTTGAACCAACCACGAAGAGAGGCATCGATCGCCTGGTTGGCTTGATTCCTTGAGACCCTAAGGACCAATGACTGGAGACTCTTGATGATAAAGATTAAAATCATTCTAGGTGGTGCGAATGCATTCACTTTTTGTAGTCTCCTAGATTCCCTAATTCCTCATGATTTCCTATGTAATTATTCTTTTCCCGTACATTTCAGTCCACTACAGCTCTTCCGAGATCTTTCTCTACCTTCGTATGCTACGTTAAGTATGGTAACTTGAATTGGTGCACTTCTGTGCAAAGGTCTACGTCGAAACTTATTCAGTCATTAATTTGGATACATTTCAACCCATCACTGTCTGGCATATAACACACAGTCTGCCTGGGTGTTTTAAAATATGTTTTAAATTAGGAACAGATTTAAAATGATGCGAGCGAAAAAACACATTTACAGAACACCTCGAGGTATCTGAACAGTTTCCACGCTTCTAGAAAAAATGTCGTATATTATTTGTATAGTACAATCTCTCTGCCTGTTAGTTAAGTTTATTAAAAATCGTAAGACAGACATAAATACAATACTATCTCCATCAAGGCGCACACAAACGATGGTTTGTGTCTTCAACCTTCCAACTGCGGACGACATACGTAAGACCTTAAAATGAAATCGGGTGTACAGAGCTGGCGGTATTCTCAAGTTCTAACAGGGTAAAGCGGTGTTCTTTAAAAAGATGAAGAATTAGATAGAGACAAAAAACAGTCCCATAAGTTAGCATCAAAAAGTCTCATCATCTGTGTTTGAAAAGAAAAGATAACAGGACACCAACATCAGTATTCGCCGTTCTTCAGAACTGCATGTGTTGTTCACGTTATTCTTTCATCTAGCTACATTACACTTCTGTAGTGAATCCTCTTCTCCCGTTTTCATTTTAACCAAGTGAGTTGCACTCATAGTAGTACTGCAGAACTATTTACCAACTATCAGCATTAATGTATTTCTTTGTTAGGCCCAAATAACATTATCTCTTATTCTAAATAACATCAAAACACTCGGTTAATATCTGAACTAAATGTATGAATATAACTTCTCAGAGAGTTACATTAGTCTTATTTAGATACTTCTATGCTCAAGTGATTTAAATACTAGATTAAGAAACTAAATTAATTAACCCAATCCAATAAAATAACAAACAGGCATAGAATTGACCCTCACGAAAAACTTGAAGGATCTGGACTTCGCCGATGATATATGTCTGATTTCCCGCAAACTGGAAGATATGCAAGTGGAAAGCAACAAATTAGCAGAAGAAGCATCAAAGATAAGACTCCAAGTAAACATATAGAAAACAGAGGTGATGAAGATTTCTGGGCAACACCAACAGCAACTACAACAAACAACAATCAGCCAGCATAAATGGGAGGAACCTGGAAGAAACAACCTACTTTACCTACTTACTTACCTGGGAAGCATCATTTCAACTACAGGTGGAACTGACGAGGATATCGAAGCAAGGATCGGGAAAGCAAGAGAAGCTTTCATTACTCTCAAGTCTGTGTGGAGGTCAACAGCACTCAGCATCAAAAATAAGATCCGAATTTTCAACTCCAATGTGAAGTCACTGCTACTATACGGATCAGAGACTTGGCCAGCGCGTCATGAAGAGCATCTCAAACAAACTACAGACCTTCATTAACAGTTGTCTTCGCTCAATACTCGAGATTAGATGGCCAGCCAGAAAAGATTAGCAGAGGGACCCTAACCAACCAGGAACCGATTGTGCAACAAATAGGCAGGAATAAATGGAGATGGATTGGCCATACTCTGAGGAAACCAGCAAGTGACATCACTAGACAAGCCATCGCTCGAGTGGAACACGAAAGGGAAGCGGCGAGTTGGTCGTCATTGTGAGGGTGACTTGGAGGAAGTCATGTGAAGAGGAGATGAAAACATGTGGGCAGACTTGGAGTGGGGTGAAAAAGTTGGGAGAAAACCTAACACAATGGAGACGTGCAGCTGAAGCCTTATGTTCCTCTAGGAGTTAAAGGAAATAATAATAATAAAATAACATTCTCAAATTTACGAAGATTATATTATTAAAATCAACAGTTGAGAACTTACAAGAAAATGAGGTTTATCGAAGTGGTGAGGTATGTTTTCGGCTAGAGTAATCAAATTCCAAAGGACGCTTTGACGAACCTGAGGCCTTTTTTCTATTGATAACCGTTTGAGTAGGAGATCGATCTACACAGTTATATATATATATATATATATATATATTTATATTTATATATAAGAAGAGAAACATACTTTAGGAATATGATGAAAACGATTATCTGAAGAAGTATAATACAAACATGACTGACTGAGTGGTTTCAACGTAGAATTATGCACACAAAACCTCTCTATTACTCACTCATCTTTGTTTTCATCTTCATCTCTATCATCTTGCCTTCCTTCCACTGATGCAACTCCTCGACTTGATAGCTCTCCACTTCCTCTCCACTCTGCGTCCACTAAAAACGATGGAAGCCAAAAAACCACCACCGACAGCCTCTTAAAGCCGCGCCACCAATTTCATATAGGAGCTCTTAATGTTAGGACACTTTGCCAAATAGGACAACAAGCATCACTAGCCAAGACCCTGGCATCACGAGCCATTGATGTATGCTGTGTTTCAGAAACACGCATACAAGACCCAAGTGTGGTTATTCACCTAACCCCACCTGGCCAACAGGTTGAATCTGCAAAATTCACCTTGAGGGTGTCAGGAGATGCCACAGCTAGTTCACGAGGATTAGCTGGCGTAGGGATAGCTTTGAGTACTAGGGCAGAAAAGACATTGCTTGACTGGATCCCGGTAGATAGCCGAATGTGTGCTGTCCGCCTGAACGGATCAGTAAGAAGGAGGAAGGACTGCACTACTCGCCGATGCCTTTTCGTAATCTCCGCCTACGCCCCCACTGACTGCAGTTCAGATGAAACGAAGGATGAGTTCTACCAAAAGCTGTCTAGTTTGGTGCGAAAGGCTAAACGCTCAGACATAGTCGTTCTAGCTGGTGACTTTAACGCTCAAGTAGGGAAATTGTGTCAATCTGAGAAGGATGTCGGTGGCACCTATGGAGCTCCGTGCCAGCGAACCGACAACGGTGACCGTCTCCTACAGTTCTGCTCTGATAATCATTTGTTTCTTGTAAGCACTAACTTTAAACACAAGGAGAGACACTGTTTGACTTGGAGACCCCCTTCATCAAACCAACGCTGGACACAAATAGACCACATAGCAATAAGCTATCGTTGGCGTGGGTCGGTAGGAGATTGTCGCTCCTTCTGGAACACGTGCGTAGATACCGACCATGCACTGGTCCGCGCTCGGGTGTGCTTACGACTGAACGGACGTAGGAAACAGCTGGCGGTAAAACCATCACGTCCCCAGCTCGATCAGGAAACTAAATCCGTATTTCAGGAAGAACTAGCTAAACACATATCTGTGTTCGACAGCTGTGCTCACCCTGAAGAAGCTTGGAAAAATATCCAGGCAGCCATAGATACAGCTGTAAAAGCTGTGAATAAGGTAAACCCAAAGGTGAGTAAAAACCACTGGATCTCCACCGCCTCATCCGAACTGATAGATGCTAGAAGACTTATTCCGGCGAGCTCCGAATTCAATGAGGAGCGAAAGCTGCACAAGAGGAAACTTACGAAAAGTCTCCGCAAGGACCGTGAACAGTGGTGGGCGACAAAAGCCAAAGAGATGGAGAAAGCTTCGAGGATAGGCAACACCAGGCAACTCTTTAGACTCATCAGGGAAACGGGTGGGAGAAGACAAATCATCAGTGAGACAATCTCGGAAAAAAATGGCACTATAATTAGCTCCCAGGATAGACGACTGGATCGTTGGAAAGAGCATTATGAGGAGCAGTTTAATTTGCCCACAGCCACGCTCAACCTTCCGAGCATCCAACACCTCCCTGAATGGGATATAGACACAGGTCCTCCGTCACTAACTGAGGTTACTAAAGCTGTCACCAATCTGAAACTAGGCAAAGCAGCGGGACCTGATGGAATGACTCCAGAGGTATTTAAGTACGGTGGAGACAGCTTACTGTCCGGATTAACTGAGGTACTAGGCAGCGTCTGGGAATCAGAAGAAGTCCCATCGGGTTGGTGTAAGTCACTGATTATCCCCATATACAAGAAGGGAGACAAGTCTTCCTGTGATAATCACAGAGGGATTAGCTTGACTAATATAGTATCTAAAGTCTTAGGCTCAATAATCATGCGTAGACTGAGTGGTGCTCGGGAAGCACAAACACGAGAGAGCCAGGCAGGCTTTAGACCAGGAAGAGGGTGTATTGATCATATCTTCACCCTCCGACAGATTCTAGAACATAGGCATTCCTACCGGCGTCCAACAGTCATTATATTTCTTGACCTAAAGGCAGCATTCGACTCTGTCGATCGGGAAGTTCTCTGGAGATGCTTGGCTGTAAAGGGAATTCCAAGAAAATATATTGCACTGATTAAGGCACTCTACTCGTACTCATACAGCCAGGTGAGGGCTTACGGCGAGCTGTCATCTGAACTGATGACGACCAGTGGTGTCCGTCAAGGATGCCCATTATCTCCTTTTCTATTCAACTTCATCATAGATGTGTTAATGGACTTAACCCTAGGTGACTTCAGCGACTCAGGGATTGACTTGCTACCAGGGAATAATCTCGTTGACTTGGAATATGCAGACGATATAGTCCTTCTAGGCGAAGACGCTGACGAAATGCAGAGTCTTCTAAACACCTTGAGCCGCAATCTACGAATGTTTGGCATGCGATTCGCTCCCGCCAAATGCAAGATGATGTTACAGGACTGGACTACATCGACGCCTAGTTTAAAAATAGGAAGTGAAGTGGTAGAGCACGTTGACCGCTTCACTTATTTGGGAAGTACCATCAGCCCCAACGGGCTGATCTCTGACGAAATCTCAGCACGAATACAAGGGGCTCGTTTCGCATTTGTTAGTTTACGCCGACTCTGGCGTAGACGAGATGTTCGACTATCGACCAAAGGGCGGGTGTACTGCTCATCAGTCCGCTCCGTCCTCCTTTATGGTTGTGAGACCTGGCCACTGAGAGTGGAAGACATGAAAAGACTAGCTGTCTTTGATCATAGGTGCCTGCGTTCTATTTCCCGTGTAAAGTGGCATAATAAGGTGAGCAACATGGAGGTTAGGCGTAGAGTTCTAGGTAAACAGGGGAAATCAATCGACGAAGTCGTGAAGCTACAAAGACTGAGATGGTTAGGACATGTGTTACGTATGCCAAGTCATCGCCTCCCTCGACGAGCTATGTTAGCGGATATAGGGTCAGGCTGGAAAAAAGCTAGCGGCGGTCAAACAAAAACTTGGCATCAGTCAATGAAATCCACAACAGTTGGTCTAAGCCACGTAGAAAGGTGTAGACTTCCAGGCTGGGGTCCTCGGGACGGTAAAAATCTATGGTTGGAAACAATTGGTGACATGGCTCAAAATCGTTCTCAGTGGCGCAGATGCATCCACTCCCTGTGACTTATGATCTTCAATGAAACTGTTTTGTATTTCTTTATTACTCCTTTGTCTCACACCTCTGCTCACTGTTTCTATTATGCTTTTCTTGTACTTTCTTCTCTTGCTTCGCGTGCTACACGGAATGTGGCGACTTGAACTTCCGCACATTTGTGCAAAGTTCTATGTCGAAAACAGACAAACAGAATTTTGCACAGATGTGCATTAGTTCGAGTTGCCAAACTCCGTTTACCACACAAAGCAAGAAAAAAAAGTGGAGAGAGATTCAAAACAAAGATAATAAACACAAATGTGAGGTTAAAAATAGTAGAAGTACGGAATAATAATAAAATTTTATTGGATACGACAAATCACAAAAACTATATGCATCCGCAACAGCCATTGAGAACGATTTTGAGCCATATCACCAATTGTTTCCAACCATAGATTTTTACCGTCCCGAGGACCCCAGCCTGGAAGTCTACACCTTCCTACATGGCTTAGACCAACTGTTGTGGATTTCATTGACTGGTGCCAAGTTTTTGTTTGACCGCCGCTAGCTTTTTTCCTGCCTAACCCTATATCCGCTAACATTGCTCGTCGAGGAAGGCGATGACTTGGCATACGCAACACATGTCCTAACCATCTCAGTCTTTGTAGCTTCACCACTTCGTCGATTGATTTCCCCTGTTTACCTAGAACTCTACGCGTAACCTCCATGTTGCTCACCTTATCATGCCACTTCACACAGGAGATAGAGCGCAGGCACCTATGATCAAAGACAGCTAATCTTTTCATGTCTTCCATTCTCAGTGGCCAGGTCTCACAACCATAAAGGAGGACGGAGCGGACTGATGAGCAGTACACCCGCCCTTTGGTCGATAGTCGAACATCTCGTCTACGCCAGAGTCGGCGTAAACTAACAAATGCGAAACGAGCTCCTTGTATTCGTGCTGAGATTTCGTCAGAGATCAGCCCGTTGGGGTTGATGGTACTTCCCAGATAAGTGAAGCGGTCGACGTACTCTACCACTTCACTTCCTATTTTTAAACTAGGCGTCGATGTAGTCCAGTCCTGTAACATCATCTTGCATTTGGCGGGAGCGAATCGCATGCCAAACATTCGTAGATTGCGGCTCAAGGTGTTTAGAAGACTCTGCATTTCGTCAGCGTCTTCGCCTAGAAGGACTATATCGTCTGCATATTCCAAGTCAACGAGATTATTCCCTGGTAGCAAGTCAATCCCTAAGTCGCTGAAGTCACTTAGGGTTAAGTCCATTAACACATCTATGATGAAGTTGAATAGAAAAGGAGATAATGGGCATCCTTGACGGACACCACTGGTCGTCATCAGTTCAGATGACAGCTCGCCGTGAGCCCTCACCTGGCTGTATGAGTACGAGTAGAGTGCCTTAATCAGTGCAATATATTTTCTTGGAATTCCCTTTGCAGCCAAGCATCTCCAGAGAACTTCCCGATCGACAGAGTCGAATGCTGCCCATAGGTTAAGAAATGTAATGACTGTTGGACGCCGGTAGGAATGCGTATGTTCTAGAATCTGTCGGAGGGTGAAGATATGATCAATACACCCTCTTCCTGGTCTAAAACACCCTCTTCCCGGTCTTTACACGGGAGATAGGACGGATACGCCTATGATCAAAGACAGATAGCCAACCGGCCTTTTCATGTCTTCCACTTACATACATAAAGAACTCAACTGAAGCATGAAACAAGTCAAATACGATTTTCAGGTTATGCTAAACCAGACTGCTTATTTCGCCTGTATTACTGAGAAATAAATTGTACAATGTTTTTCAGGTCGTTTCAAACACTAGTGGTACTCAAAGTAAGGTAGTGGTTGTTAGATCCGCTTGCGACACATGGAAGGAAACGGATAACATATATGGTGACCAAAACTTTCGGTTTAGCACTCCTGGATGGTTGGCTGAAGTTCTATAGCCTTAAACACCTTAAAAGGAATGCAGTTCTGAATTAAAAAACTTCAAATTCATGATAATTACAATACACACTAGAAAACAACTTGAAAGTCACGAACTGATTTATGCATAATAGTCCTGTGTGTGGCGACTTGAACTGGCGCACATTTGTGCAAAGTTCTATGTCGAAAACAGACAGACAGACAGATAATAGTCCTGTGCTAAATCCTATCTTCATATGTCTAATTGTCTATTATTATTTATTAAAACACAAAAGTGGTACATCGTGGGCGCAAAGAAATGTGCCACACAAAATCTCATAGTTTGTGCGAGGGCTGAGGTACTGCTCGGACTCCCAGGCTGAAGCAGGTGGTCGCTTTAGTTGGCCGCCCCGCGAACGTTTGAATTCAACCCTGACCTACAAGACAGCGAAGTAGCCTCAGAAGTTGTATTCTTATGGTTTCCAGTAACCAAAGCACGTTCATACGCCATTCAGTCCTTTCGGATTCTGGAGTCCATGAACATCGTAAGTTTGCAGTCAGGGCTATGCAGCTCCTCTGAGAAGACTTGCGGGTTCACCTGTCCGGTTGTAGGTGCCAGACGTTACTATTCGTTCTTACACGTATGTGAGGAACGCCTACGCCATATGAAGGCAGCATAAAGAACACAATTCAGATTTCAACACCTTTATTTTTCGAAAACTTGAAGCGCGCGTCGCAAAAAGTATTCTAACCTAACTGCAAAATCTTCTCAACAGCTGCCTTCGCTACTTCGATACCGAAGACCGGATGGCCAGAAAGAATAAGCAATGAGGAAGTGCGGCAATGAACCAATTAAGAACATATCGCCCAAAAAATATGCAAAGGAAATACAAGTAGACCGGGCACATTCTGAAGAGATCGTCAATCGAAATTGCGCGCCAGGCTGTCTCCAGAGTGGAACCCGAATGATAAACGAAAGGGTAGGTGTGTCCCAAGGTGACATGGAAGGGATCGGTTGAGGAGGGGATGACAACTTATGGACAATGGTAAAGCCAGCTAAAGAGGGACAAAGAGAACAGGATGCAGTTGAAATATGCTGTTGAAGCCCTGTACTCCACTAGGAAACTAATAGATTTCAATTTAGAAAGTTCGTATTTTTCGTTATAACAGTAGGAGGAACTATATCGTTGTGGAGTACTGATTCGCATGCCGAGTAATAAACTCCTGGAACAGATTCCTTGAGGAAGTGGTGTCAGCACCCTTAACTGATTTATTCAAGAAGGGTTTGGACGAGAACGGGAATTTATTAGAAAAGGACTAATATACGTTTCAAGCCTTCTATCCTTAGTCAATAATTCTGAATCTGAAAGTAACTGGTTGAAACTCATCTCAATCAGTAAGTCATGCGACACAAACTTAAGACTAAACATGTGAACTAAAGGATTAAAGATGGAGCAAAAACCAAGAGTTCTGTTTTCTTACAATGATTTCATTTTGTGAAAATGCATGATAACAATTGAGGTTGGATTGGATAATGAAAACAACGGCAACTGAAAGTGAAGTAATTATGCATTCTGCTTAACTTTCCTTATTGAAGCTCCTGCATAGACTTACATGAAAGTTTATTACCAAATTAAAAACTTTAGTATTTTATCTGAAAATTAACTAACTTGGCTGTGAACATGTAGTGGGGCACGAGTTTCTAGAGTGGTAAGTGTATCTAAGATGGCACTAACGAAATTAGTAGTATTGTACGTGTTAAGCATCTCGATCAAGCAACGACGTATCTGAAACAATAATTATAAATGCATTTGTGAATACCTCTTCAGAAACTGTAGAATTATGATGCATATGTTTTCCTAAATGCAGAAGTTTGAGCTTAGTGTCAGTGTCTGTAGACAAGTCATTGAGTAATTTACACAATATGGGGCAAAGACTACCAGCAAACACACTAAAAGATAGGAACAGTACATTCAAGATACCTAGATATTGGGGCGATTGTATGACAGGCCCATACAGCTGCATCCGATTCTACTTCATAATGTGATTCGATTTGCTTTAAGATGGCATGATGAACTCCAAGGTGTTCACGCGTGATTTCATCCAGAATTCCAAACAAACTAGTAAGAAAAAATTAAAACCAGGCATATATTACCGTAGAGTTAAAGCACGGACAGTTGGGTCATTGCTTTCTGTAAAAGGAAGTAATTTACGGATGATATCTTCACACACTGTCAATTTTTTAAAGTGAGTTCTGCATTCTGCACACGCACGTAGTATACAGAGGCGTACATGATTATTTCTGGAAGATAAACGTGAAATTGACTCTTACCCATCGCAAAAAATCTGAGTAATTTTGAGTAATATTGAATTTATTACAACAGGGAATGGATACTTTTCAAGAACGGAGGGGAATTGCGCAATAGTCTTGCATTGGATCCCTAAGTTTGTTGACTGGAAACCTATACAAAGTTGATGAGAGGGCAATGTTTATAAAATACCTTTATTCAACTCCATTATTAAAACGTTGGCATCCTTTCCTAAGTCACTTTCACTAAGACCTTGACTTTCGAAGGTCATTTTCACTAAATGAATTGAGCGCTCCCAATACCCAATATCGTTTTTGCGTCAGGAGCGTCGTGTGATGGCTGGACTTATTTATCACGTACTGTTGAAGTTCCGCTTGGAAATTTTTTTTTGACAATAATTTTTAATAAAATTGTGTTGCATGTTATCTAGATTGATGGAAATTCTCATTTTTTGGCTAGTTATGTTTGTGTCCGCCTCATGTGATCTGACTGCGGTACACTCTCAGCAAATTGGTTGCAAAGATTAGTGTTTCAGCAGGACATATTACCATAATGAGCAAGACTGGATAGTTGTAGGGTAGTATCATCTACACAAGTAGTCTATTTTTGTTGAAGCTTCACCTTTCGGCATAGCATCATTCAGTGAAGAGTTCACGCCTCAAGATATCAGCGCAGCCTATTTACTTCCGAAGAACAGTACTATTTGACAAATGAATGCTATCAGTACATGGAAATTCCCTATAAATGCTAATAGAACCTTCTTTGAGAACAGAATTCATGATAAAGACGCATTTTTCACGTGTGTGTGTGTGTTTGGACAGGAATTATCGTAATTTGAAAGGTTACCTGTGAATGGATTTAATATATATTTGCACTGATTACTTCAGTGTAGTGTGGGTTATGTGGACTCAGTATATAAAAGTATCTCAACTTATTGTTGCGCCATTGTTTGATTAGCTGACTGCTAGGCTAACAGATGTAGATGGTTCTCATGATTGTTGCAAGGGTCGTGGGGAACATAATTGTTCATCTAATTTGCATCTGTGTTCCCTATAATGCGTTAACTCAGTGTATGGTATTATTATATACCTGAGCTTTGTTCACTACAAGAACTTAATCTAACAAGCTCTATAGTGGTCAATCTACTGGTTGTTATATCATTTCCACTAACACTGTATACTTAATGTCTATGCTCCAGTGTTTTTGATCACCAATAATGTGGGTGAATTTGTTCTGAAATTTCCGTTTACATAATAATAATAATTTATATTTTCATATAAACATTTAAATTTACATGAAAATGCATGCCATTTTGCAGGCACGACCAAGTATGATATAATATCAAATTGTAGATTGTCTACAAGTTAATTATGTTTGATATATATATATAAACACTCATTGCCTGAACCAGGCCGTATAGTTATTGAATTGTACAGTTGTCCTCGTTTTCATCCCGTGGTTGTAGGCAAACGATAACCAACCAATACTGAGGTAAGTACAACGTTTACAGGGGATTGAAAGCTGTTTTGGAAAAGTAAAAGTGCTAAGGTGAATCAATAAAGTGTAATAAAATAAGTAAGTGCAATATATCATTAATAAATACATTTATATAGGAAATGGAATGGGAAAGTAATTAATCCCTAGGCCGACAACGTTCATTTGCAATGTATAATGCTACCCATATAGGTCTTACTATCATGATGTCCACTTTTGGCTTTAATACACGTATTTGAAAGCCAGCTGTTTTTATTTCCTACCTTGTCTATTTGGTGCACAACCGTACCCTACAGGAAATAGGAATAGAGTGAGTCGAATCAAATTCATAAAGAGCTATAAAATGTTAGGTTTAATGGAATATAATGAGGACCAAGCGGAGACGTTATTAGAAAATGAATGAGATAAGACATTGTGAAGTGGTATTTAAAGATCCGACAATGGATAGCAAGTTAATTTATAGGATGCCCCATAAATCTGTGCAGAGGTCATGTGGTCGATTCTCAACAATAGGCTGAGTGAATGGTATATATTTAAAGGCAGAAGCATGATCTGTATAGGCGTTCATTATTATCTTTTCAAGATAAAGATCTGAGCCTTCAGAAAAATCAGAAAATCTCGAGCCGTCAAATTGCATATTGCTGTTCCTGCGGAATGGGGCGATTCACCTTAGTGACCACCACCAAATCTACTGATAAGCTAGCGCCACCCTCCCTCCATTTTTGGCGTTAGGCTTTGAGATTGTGATTATTATGGCTACCGCAAATATCTTGCTTGGTACCAGACATGTTCGTAACTCATATTCTATCTCCGTAGCTTCCTTAATGATTGCTTCCAATAGGTTTCCACGTATGTCTTTATGAACATATTATATATGTGCGCGTGCGTCCTAATGAACAGATTACTTTATAAGAAATTAAAACCTTAAAGAGTAAAAAGAATAAGTTTTGTGAATATTGGAGCAAGATTCAGCAGAACACTATAGTTAGGGTTCAATCTAGGTAGTATGAACTGAAGGTAAGGTCGGTTGGCAGAACTTGGTGTACGTAATTATCATGACAGTCTTTTGAACATTTGACATTGCAAAGTAACCTGTCTACACATATTATAAAAAGATACTAACACCGAACCAACAAAACTTTAGCATTCGGTTAACAACACTGCAGTGAGTGTATACTGAAGAAGGGTAGTAAGTCTTATAGGGAGCCGTAAAGTAAATCAAACTATATATGATAAGAGTATAATCAATATTATAATTCGTATTATCGAGGAATACATCAGACTCAATAATTGAGTGTTATAAGGTAAAAAAGCGTGGTAAAGCAAGAGAACATTTCCAGCATAAATATTTTAATCATTTTAAGTATTTTAATAACAATCTAATTTCAAGAATTGAACATGCATAATTACTAAGTATTATTATATTAGTATATACATATGCAAAATATTAAAAGGTGTGGTTGCTAGTATAATTATTTCCAGGATTACTTATACCAACACGACTTAGTGAAGATTATAGAGAATAGAAATCAGTAAATTAGTTAACGTTCGCTGCGTAAGAATTAAAGTCGAGTTATACGTATGTAACTATACTGAAGACCGGACTGGCCTTCAATTTCCTTTCTAAAAACAGTTGTGGTCTTTTAGATGAGCTAGGGTGGACATGTTAAAGTGTCTTTCTAGGCTCCGTTTGAACCCATGGGGGTTTTCACAAGATCTAATTTCAGGTGGTAGTTGGTTCCAAAGAGTGCAATATTTTATGGTGAAAAAGCTTGTCCTAATGGATTTTCTGTGGGTAGCCACCTTGACAAGGTAGTCGTGGTTTCGCAGCTAATATGATTTAATATTTTCCCACGTTATGGATGAGTTACTGTAGCAATGTTTCCTAATGACTTTGAAGAGTAGAAACAAATTGCACTTCACTCTCCTTAACCACAGAGGCTCTAATTTCAGACGTACACACCTGTCAACATATTCCACTTGTTGGTCAAACCCTATTATGCGTTTCGTGAGGAATCTCTCGACACTTTCGAATTTTTTTCTGTCTACAGACCTGAGGTTACTAAATAGCAGAGCACAATAATCAAGTTTGGGACGGACACATGTCCTATATATAGCTAATCTTGCTATTTGGGTGTAGAAGTTACGCAGTACAAAGCCAGTAAGTCTGTGGAGTACGTAACGGTGTGATTGTACACTTTTTGGTTATTTGTAGAAATTCGAGATTTTGTACATAATTTTTGTTTAAAATGCTTCTTGTTGAAATATACATAACTTCCGTGTACAATTGAAAAATACACTCTGCTGTTGGAGACTTCGTCTTCTCCCTGGTCATTTCTGCTTACTTGCTCAACTCACACCGTGTTGTATACTTCGGATTTATTGTAAGAGTCCACTACTCTCAACCGAAGACGTTTCTACAACCGGAACACAGCAGCTACAGCAGACGCAACCCAATCAATTAACGTACCCGCGGATTATATACATAATTTGTAGCAGAGGACTTAGACTTTATATCCAAGTAATCCTTTTTGTTGATACAATTCGTCACTGCATTTTTTGGCAATATATTGTTATTTAACACTCCATTGACTTGGATTATTATTCTTATATTTATAATGTCAGTGAACTCTAGTATAAGTCCCCTACCAATTAATTGGTGAGCCCGATAAGAACACGGATTATTTTGGCATATTCATATTCTTATTTTTGCTATTTTGTGTATTCATTGTGATTTTGTGTGTGGTTTATATTTGTATCCTAATTTGCACCAATAACCTCATATTTGTAATGTCATCACCTCAGTCCGGTACATCAAACGAGCAGACAACTAATAGCGAGACAAATGCCACAATAAATGCCATCACTGATTTTCGTTTACCTCAATACGGTTTCGCAGAACCAAGGATTCGGTTTGCGGTAATTGAGCCGTTGCTAGAAGCACGGGGCATTAAGTCCCAGATAGCCAAATATGGTATGGTGCTGGCAGAACTCCCTCCGTCAGTATTGACAGAAATCAGCGATTTCATCGAAGATCCTCCGACGTAACATCAATTTGATAAACTTAAAGCCCTCCTCATACAACGCACCAGTTTGTCGGATGAGAAAAGAATCCAACAATTGCTCACAGGCTGTGAACTAGGCCCACGTAAACCATCCCAGCTGCTCAGACACATGCGCCAGTTAATCGGACATCATAAAGTAGACGAGGTAGTGATGAAACAGATGTGGTTGCAACGTTTACCTAGAAATGTCCAGCAAATTTTAATCATCTCAGGAAAGTCGTATGACTTAGACCAACTAAGTGACATGGCAGATAGTATTATGGATGTTTTATCTGATAACACCATAAGTCACATAGCATCTGATAGTGCCACACCATGTCATTCCACACCCACGGCAGACACACCGATACTCGCCGCCATTGCAGACTTAGCGGCAAGGATTGACAAGTTGGAAACTAATAGGTCTGATCGACGAGTCCGGAGGCTGAGTTCACAAAGAAGGTCACCATCACGACGACGATCCTTCTCACGACAGCGTTCTCACACGTCTTCTCGGGATAGTAATATATGCTGGTATCACTGGAAGTTTGGACGTCATGCCCTGAAATGTGTAAAACCGTGCAGCTTTAGCGAAGCCAACCAGGCTCAGGGAAACGCCTCAGTCAGACAGTGATGGCGACAGCCGTTACTGGCAAGCAAACAAGTCGCCTCTTCTATGTGAAGGACAAAACTTCAGACACTTTGTTCCTGGTAGACACGGGAGCAGAAGTTA